GCGTTGCCGTACTGCGGGATTCCCTGGAGCAGGTCCTGGCATGGAGTGTTGTGGTAGGCGGTGTCGCGCTGATCGATGTAGCACATGGTCCAGCCGTCCGGAACCCTGAAGCTGGTGGACTGGTCAACCTCTAGCGGCTCGTGACGCAGGATGTCGCCACAGCAGTTACCTGCAACAAAGTGGTCGTGTGTCATTTATCAGTAGTAAAGTTAGGATGCAGCCTGATACAAATTGCATCAGTGTACAATTTGTTGGTTTCTTGTTGACAATCTTGTAATATGCATAAATGCTATCATAGAATAACTATGTTCAGAATAATGCATCTTTGTTCAGGATAGAGGTTTTTTAACAGTGCCAAATATTAAGACTTTTGTAAGTAATTTATTACTTACCCGGCGCTTTATTGGATGCAGTAGTCGTTTCTCGGGGCGCAGTTGTCGTGACAAGACGGTCTAGAACAGAACAAGTGTTTGTAAGCGCGCTGTGAAGTATCACACAATTCACAAAGGACGGCTATATGGGTGATATTTTTCTGACACTAAAGATAGTCAGTTCAAAACTAAAAATCCTAAACTTGTAGGATTAGACTCGATGATAGGAAATAGAAGAGGAGAACTAGACAACGTTTCAAATTACCTCTTGCGCAGAAGGCAAATTTGTCCTGCTGCCCGGAGCCTCCGACGCACCAGCTCCCGGACTCTGCCCCACACGCGTCATCCGGTCCCCAGTTGTTCATGAACTGGTACACACCGTACAGCTGGGCGCAGCCGCTCGGGCTGGTGCCGCACAGCTCCTGGGATATCTCGTACATCGGGTTGCCGCAGTTGTCCAGGCCTGTCAGCACGCACGCGGAGGAAGCGTACTGACACCCGCTGTTCCCGTTACACGGAGTCACGTACCCGGCTGCTTCACATGTAGCCTTGACGTTGGTCGACGTCATAGCTCCGCTGACAGGGACTTTGTAGTAGTGCCATCCCTTGTAAGAAGCCAGATATCCGGCATCTCTTCCTGCAAAAGAGAACAGAAGAAATGTTAGTAAAAAAAACTCCTAAAACGTTATTTTTAATTTCTTTCTTTGGTGACAATACTATGGCAAGCGATAGCTATTTTGTCATGAAACACAAATGTTTATAGATAACATTCATTCTTCGCTTTGATATAGCCAACACATTTCACACAAGCACTAGGAAGTATGCCAAGGAGCAGCTGTTAAAAACAGACATACCATCGGCCATCTGACGGCGACTTTGTGACGCCGGCGAATCTTCACCGGTGGACTCCTGTGATGTGTCCACATGAATATTTGAAATAATTAGTTAACCATCGAATACCCAGACATATGTGTACAAAAACAGAAACTAGAATAACCTGAAAGAGATTTTTAAAAATCTGAAAGAGACAAAAAAATGTTCTTTATTGCAGAAGAACTTTCACTTTGAAAAGCCAGGATACTAGTACCTTGAAGTCGACGGCAAGTGGTTCATCGTCACTTGTTGAGGAGGCGTCCAGAATACGGAGGGCCTCTTGCTCTTTTAACTCGTCCTGGCCTGTAGCGGTGCCTGGATGTGGGAAAATTATTTTGTGCTTGTTCAAAAGCAGTGAAACGAACTGGAAGTGAAGTGACGTTTCTGTAGCATCTTAGCCTGGGTGCCATCCTCCATAATATCCGCCGGCTCCCTAAAGTCGCTGGCTACCACGGAATCTGGACTTGCTGAGCTAGCCAGGGACATTAATTAGCGAGCCGGCGGAGACTACGGAGGATGGCAACTGTGCCAGAAGCATCTAAATCTTAATGCAAAACTGTTGCTTGCGAGGTAAGTTGATAGCTTAGTTATGTGGGAAAATGTCGACTAGGGCTGTTACACTTTTCTCTTTGCCGTCAGTTGTACTTTAAATCTTGGTAGTACAGTAGGCGAAGAGTCTTAAACTGTATTCACAGACCCCGATATTGCACATCAATCAAGCAACGTTTAAGTAACCATGCTCATGTCAGTTCAGTTAAGTTACGTGGGTTAAGACATGTTAAGCTGGTGGCGCAATATGTGCGGACGTGCCCACTAGCACGATCCGGCTACGGTTGTGACTCAGGCTGGTGCCGTTATACACACAAAGCTTTACACAGACACCCTCCATGATATAATTACAAGACTTCAATTAGTTTTTACCACCAAGCATGAACAATGTGTATTGAAGGAGGACCAACAATTAGTGACACCAGCTTCGATAAACAAGATAAACCGATCTGATTCTTGAAGAAGAGGATGAACATTTTTCTCCGTGCATGCTTCAGCATATGTTGTCCCAGCTGTAGCTATTTGACACGGCACTTTTTGCAGAACTTAATAATATTTAGGTGGCAAGGACAGACCCGCATGGACGAAAAAAGTCATGGCCTTATGGCTCACAGAGGATAAGTAAGTAAGTATTTAGGTCGAGAATAGAGAACATCATTGTCCCAAGTAGACAAGAAGTATGTTAATACGGTATAAACATATCCAATTTCTTAAGACGTGTGAGCTTTCTCATCTTTTTAACCCCTAGCCAAATTGTCCTCAATCCTTTAGATTTACAAAGCGTATTTATTCAGGGCCCAAGACATAAATATAGACCAGGTAAACGTTTGATAAACATGCCCAGTTTCTCGTGCTTGAACCATTTTACTGACGCGCATGTGAGCCTTCTTAAACTTCGGTTTATGCCATTGATCCTTGTAAACTACTCAGATATACGCTCAAACTCCTAGAGCAAGAACACATCGAGTGGTTAGAGATAACTTAAGGAGTGCACATAAATACATTACTTAATTGGAATTGTAGACTCTACTTTAAATTTACAAGTGTTGCCATAGGCTTCATTGCACCAATGAAAAAAGGCGAATTGCATCTTGACTATGCCTCGTATGTGGGAGGGAAAATAGCAATGAACACAAATTAGTCTATTCTGGACCGTAAATACTCATTGTCAAGTTACACAAAAAGTTCTTACCTGTCACAGCAGACACACAGAGACCCAGGCACAGAAGAGTCAAGACCTTCACGTACATGTTGTCCATGCTTCAAGTTCGGAGAAGGACAACCTACTCTTGGCACCAAGTGTAGGACAATGCGGGGTACCCACTACCACTCGTTCTTGTACCTAACACAAACCGATCCTATAGCCCCGCCCACCTCCTCCAAAACGTACAAATTAAAACATTTGAAGGACATGGAGACGCTCTCTCATTGGTCCAAATAGCTGCTAATTGCCACGCCATTGGTTGAAGTTTGAACTATCATTGGTCGAGTTTGGACTGCCATTGGTCGAAGTTTGGACTACTATTAGTTGAAGTTTGAACTGCTTGTTGTGGGGAAGAGTCAGGATCGGGCTAATGGACAACCGTCAGTTGTGCCCATCACATGTTCACCGATCCGGTCAGCCTCCTACCTACTACGTGGCCTTTTTTCTATTCCAACATTTACCTTGATACAAGCCATGGCGACGGCACACTCACGTTTGCCGCTACCTGATCTGCATCTCGTCGAGGTCTTAGAAATGCGAGTTTCCATGACGAAAATAACCAGCGGCAGTGCGGGTTTGGAACAACAGGAATATGATGCTTTCTGAGCATAACCTGCTAAGCTCACCATGGGACACGAATGGAGAAAAGAGCAATTAGTGGTGGCCTAAACTCTATTCATCGCAGGTCATCTCACCATTTTTAGGTCGTAGTCTTCATCGTCATCGCATGCTCACCGACCCGCTCAGACTCCTACGTACTACGTGGTCTGCATTTCGTCCACGTCTTAGAAATACGAGTTTCCATGACGAAAATACTATGCGGGGTCGGGACAACAAGAATATGATGCTTTTTTGAAGATAACCTGTTAAGCTCACCGTGGGACACGAATAGAGAAAACAGCAATTAGTACACAGGTCTTTAAATGGGTGATGCCCCAACTATACCTACGAGGTAACACAGACTGTCTTGTGCCACTTGGCCTGGGTACATTCGTTGTGTCGAAGAAACTTAGAGGCTGTGTCAGAACCAACAGCCGAGAAGGATTTGAAGGCGGTATTTTCTGTACCCAGACTACCAATTTTGCAGGGCATATGCAAGACTATCCATAGGATGCCTTCATGATCAGTTTGACCGGCTTCTACATACGTTTCTAAACGTCTATCACATCTGTTACTAGTATTTGCTTCAGCGAGTAAGACAGTTTTTAATCTCATATCTTAATCATCAATACATTTTTAGTGTTTTCATATCTGCACAATTACGAAGAGATTAGAAAAATGGATCTGCTACGTAGGACAGTTGTGAGAACTAGTTACGTGTTGTAGCTTCCATTTATTTATGACCTATAGATAGATAGCTAATTAAACATAAGGATACGAAAAAACAAGCAATCTTTATTCAATATAGAGATGTTTATTCATTCAAGAGCAGCATCTACATGGTACATCCGTCTGGAAAAATGTTGGTACATATTCTCAACTTTCTGACGAAATTGAAGAAAGGGCTCCGGTTATTTATGGACGATTGTTATACTTTCTTAATTATGTGAATGTTTTATATACTGTAAAATCATTGTAGTAAGTAATACAACTCAGTAGATAGTCGAAGAGTATATAATTTTCTACTTTCCGCATCAATGCCATATCATATGATAAAGTTATCATAGAAAGAAATGTCTCGGGTATTGTATTCTGCAAGTACATAAGTATAATATTTTTTACCTCATGAGTAAAACATTTGGATGAGCTTTGGATGAATGATCGTTACAAATCTTATCCAATGAAAAGCGCACAGAATTCAAAGTTGCAGACTGTAGGGCAACAACCAGGAACATAGCTAACATTTAAATTTCGTCAGCAGTCGCTATCCTTACTCTCCAAGCAGATGTTGTGGGGGAATGATCGTTAGCTTTTCATATATGGACCTTCTCTGGCTAATGGATACTGTCTTGCCACCGAAAGGGATCTGCTTGGAGATTAGCTAGCCTGTGGCATCTCTCCTTTTACTCTTCCACTTCCACGTTGGTCTCCTCCCCCTCCACGTCAGTGACAGCCTGGTAGGCCCACTCCTCCCGGCGGGAGTACTTCCGCACGACGGCCGCGCCCAGCACGACAAGGGCGAGCGCCATCAGACCCCCTCCGGCAGCCAGCAGGGCCCAGGGTGCACCGCGGCGACTGCGCAGGCTGTCTGCAGCTGGAAGGGAACACAGCAGAAGATTCGTTACAACCTTAAAATGAAATATAATTTCTTTGTCTTTAGAATGGAAGTACGGATCCACATTATCCCAATTTGTCATCAAAACAAATTGCTGTAACCAGGATTTTAAATGATGTAAACTGCCACTTTGTTATATATTGCCTGGCTAGCTCTTCCCTTATGATCTCAATAAAAAGCGGCCTGCATGCCAACTTTAAATTGCCAGCTTAAAGAAAAACTACATGCACACTGCAGCATTGAAAGATCAGGTGCTATCTGCGGATTCATTGCAACAATCAACCAATGACTGGATGATGTTGCACAGATTCGTGACATGTAAACTGTCAGGTAGATGATTATGTACCTGCTTCGGCATCATCCAGCACGATCGGTCCCAGGTACAGCATGTGGCGTCCGATCATGTCGGCCTTCTCGCCAGAATCCGAAGCCCTTTTGCGTCTCGCAACGCAGCCCTGAAAAAAGAAATGTTCTTTATTGTGTGGTTTAGGGTAGAATATGACAGCAAATAACACAATATTGGTATCGATGGTGTTTGAGAGTGCATGTTAAGCCCCAGTCACATACACCGTGCGATGCAATGCTCCTGCGATGACTTTTACGACATCGAAGATGCATCGTACGGTATGTATGACCAGGACTTGAAAAGAAGGAGTCAGATGCAATGAAAAAGTTACGATCACGTGGTCAAGTATCTAGGTATTTCAAAGAGGCAATTTTTGACATTTACATGTGTCTACACGACTATGAAGTAAGACACTACCTACTACCTACGTTTATGTCCCAAGCATATTGACTAACCTCAGCACAGCGGGACCGGGCATTGCCTGCGTCACAGACCATCACCTCACAGTGCACGTACACCATCTTCACCTCTTTGATGAAACGGAACGCCTCAAAACCGAACCGCTCCTTGTTGGCATCCTTGGGGCTGTAGATATCCAGGGTTGGGTCGGAGGCACATCTGCAAGAAAATTACGGAAGTATTATTTTGGGGCGGCGCTGGTTTAGGTGGGTTTGTATGTTTGGATTCCTAGAGTGGCAGTGGTTGCTAGAGAATTGGATGTAGTTTTGACTTAAGGACCGGTCATGGTTGAAGATGACCCAGCACGTATCGGGTTTGAGCATGCCAGTGTGTAATAATTATGTAAGAATTCAGTAAATGTTGTAATAATGATTAGATCACACCATACAACCCTTTTTACAGTTCAAATATATTCACAGAAAAACATGAACATGCTAGAAAACAAACAATGCCAAAGAAGACAGAATCTGCCTACCCGTCGTTGATGAGTTGATAGTGCAGGGTGTCGTTGGGTTCTGGTGACATGGTGGCCTTGCAGTTCAGCGCCAGGACGGAGAGTTCCTGTCCGTGTCCCTGCACCTCCAGCTGCATGTAGACGTTCTCTCGCAGTTTGCGGTGGATGGGGAACTGGTCGGCCCGGTACTTACTCTGGTACTGCCGGGTAGGGAACATGGAGAGCCGGACCTCCAGCTGCCCGAACCCTTCCTCCGTGAAGTTCAGCCCGCCCGGGATGGGCAGGAAGGTGGAGTCTACCCATTGCTTGCGGGCGTACTCGCACCTGGGAATCAACGACAACAGGCAGATTGTAAGCATGGAACGACGTAGATACTTTGACAAGGGAAGAAAGGCAATAAAAGGTAGTAGAAACGTGAGACTAAGTATTTTACCTGGATGTGATCCTGACGTCACTTCCCCTGCTGATGACGCCGGCGTCCCTGTCGGTACCCCGGATGCTGATGGTGTTCAGGAATGTGACATAACGTGCATCGAACTTGACCTTGTAAAGATTTTTGACAAAATTAAGTCGTGTACAACGCTACATCATGTAGAACGACAATTTTGCTGTTTTACACAACTTGTCCATGAGCACAACTACTTTGTCTTTGCCAAAGTTTATGTAGATTAGTCTTAGTACACGTACCTTGGTGCCACAGCCGTACAGGTCAGTACGGAACAGGTAGTGAGTACCGTTAGTTGTGGCGCCACAGTTCTGGTCAGGCTCCCAGTGAAGGTTGTTCTGGTCGATGTCGGTCAGTTCTTCCTTGGGAATGGCCAGCTCCATGTAGTCATTGGTACAGGAGGTAGAACCTGTTGGATAAAAACTTGCTTTTAGTGAAATATGTCCACAGCTGGTGGTGGCTAGCATCAGATACATTTTGTGTCAAAAGGATAGAGTTGCTTTAGAGTTGTCAAAATTATTCTCAGAGTGAGACCACATACCTGACAGTTCCTGAGGAGGTACGACCACTGTGCAAGGAAAGAACAAAACGTTACATCGTTTATATTTCAAGATGAAGAAGTACAATGTTGTTACACTGAGAACTGAGATTTGAGCTAAGAATAGTAGTAAAGTCAGGCTGCAGATCAACTACAATACACATGTATATTGAGAGTATCGTATCCAAAACCGTGACTATCTAGTTCTATGTCTGAATAAGTTAGGATTAGGGTCAGGATCAAACACGGCCTTGGATAGTCTCCGAATATCCAAGAACGTAGTTTTGCCTCAGGCACGGATCTGGATACACGTGAACTAAGGTGCCAGTACCGTGTCTGAGCATGATTCTGGAAAAACACTGTTATGGGTACAATAATTTAGCTGTTGGGATGGTCGATTTGGTCGGGCCGCTATAAGCACGATTTAATCAGACCAGAATATTACCTTTGCATCCGGATCCGCCCAACTCCCCATCGCCCTCATACCCAACCGGACAGGTACAGGTCGCTCCGGTGCCGGGGGCCGCCACGTCCTGACAGGTAGCCAGGGGATCGCACGGGTCGGGCGAACAACCGTCCACGTCTGTTGGAAAAAGCGCCAGCACGTTGAATGCTTCGGTGACCTTGTCGTGCCATCATTTCCATTGCAAACATGAAGCCTAGCCTCTACCAGACCAGACTACAGAAGCGGCTGGAAATACGGGTAGTAGAAATTGGCCAAATGGACAGATAACATGCGAGGTCAGTATGGCCAGCTAAAGTTAGTTCAGTTTGACACTCCCTCCACCAGGCTTCAGAACAGCAAACTGTACACCCTTAGCGGACCAACTCCCATGGTATGTAAAGTCTGGTAGAGGCTATATATGACCAACTAGTAAGTGCTTTCACTTGAAAAGTAGAAGATCGGGACAGATATTAAGTCTTACGAAAAATGCGTTTGATCCATTCAGGCATTCTGGCTTACCTCTGTCACAAGTGTCCCCTTCATACCCTGAGTTGCATGTACAGGTGTACGTGTTGATTCCGTCCACACAGTCACCGTTCACGCAAGGATTGGCCGCACAGTCGTCAATGTCTGGGAAGTAAGAAAGGACATATGATTGACAATATGTACGACGAAAAACCACTCACTGATTTTCCAAGTATCTATCTAGTATCTAGTATTTAGCTGCGCTATTTTAAGTCGTCATAGTATACAATTTTAGGGACTCTATACAGTTTCTACTTTTGAATGCAACTTGATTATAACGGTTAAAAGTTAAGTTTTTATTCTTTGAAGAAATATCGCATCTTACTTGTTTCACAATTGCTGCCCTCGTATCCAGCGTAACAGTTACATGTGTAGCTGTTCCTTCCGTCCACACAGTCACCGTTCACACACGGGTTACCGGCACAGTCGTCCCCGTCAAGATCTATATCTACATGGCGGTAAAATGGCTTTAACTAAATGTTCAAGGCACAAGCTACATAATAATATCCTGGGGACCTTTTCGTTGTCTACGGAAGGTTAAAAATTGGTAACAGTGCTGCAAATACACAAAAACTTTACGCATACTTTAAGGTGTTGAAGATCTTGAAGATTTCGTGCAGTGAAGGTATACTGTATCGAGAACTGTGCTAATTCTATCTAGTTCTATGACTCTGCCCGAAGGGGTTAGGGTTAGGATCAAGCACGGTTCTGGATAGTCTCCGCCTATCCAAGAAAATACTAGTAGATCAGCCAAAGGCACGGTTCTGGATACGCGTGGGCCATCCAGAACAGTGCCTGAGCATGGTTCTGCATAAAGCACGGTTCTGGATACAGTAAGGCAGACTATATACTCACTTTCCGACGATCCACAGTAGGTGAGGCTACAGGCAGGTGCGGCGGGGAGTTTGTACACGTAGTACCCGGCGCTGCAGGCCCGCACCTGGATGGTCGTTTGCCAGTTGCAGGTGTTGCCGCTCCAGTAGGCACACGCCTGGAGGATTGATTGTGTGATAGAAGGATTTTAGACTTTTCTTACACTGTACAAGTATGAATTGCCTTCTTTTTTTTTAAATGACCATTTATTTTCATCATTTTTTAACAATCTCAGTGACACTTCTGTGAGAATGCATTGCCTTGTAGTGTATATTGGACTGTATAATTTTAACTAGTGTAATGTAACTGTGCAATCTATCCCTTTTATTGCAGGTGGTATTTTACCATAGATACTTACTCTCTTATTCGTTCTGTATTACGTCTGTACTTTCTGTGGGTCAGCCATTACAAGGTGCATCCTGTGTTGACCCTTGCAATGACATGTATCATTGCCAATAAATACAAATAGAATACCTGGCGGGACACCTCGCCGTCGGCAAGTGTGGGGTGTTGCCCGTTCATCCACATCGGGGCGTCGGTGCCGCACCTGTACACGTCAGGTGGCGCCGCGGTGGGCATTGCATTCCCGGCGGACCCGGTGAAGCGGTACCACTCCCCGGCGAACCCGCTGTCGCACCGGTCCGCGTTCCCGCTGTTCACGTCCTGCACGTTCCTCCAGGCGTCACTCAGCGTGATGTAGTTACTGCAGGGATCTGAAGAAACGGGAACGGATAGAATCTACTTTTTTATGTAATATTGTTTAATGAGGTTATTGATTGACGTTAAATGTGTAAAAGTTACTTTAATGACATCCGTGAATAGTTTCATCAGGTTGGTAAGTAACTGAATAAAGAGACTCATTTTCTACACAACCAAGTCTTTTATTCAGCCGCCCTGAGGAAGGTGACAGACGGTCACCGAAACGTCGGCTGAATAAAAGACTTGGTTGTGTAGAATGAGTCTCTTTATTCAGTTACTTAAATGACGTTTATTGTATTATCGTTATCAACGTTTTTTCAAAGTAATTAGAAGTGAATGCAAATAGTTGTTATAATGTTTGTATCTTACAATGTATGTAAGAGGACTCAAGGAAGAGAGTTTGTATGGTCACTAATTGAGGTTCCTTAAATAAACAAACAAACAAGCTACCCAATCGATAGACATTCTCAACCAAACCTTAAGACAGAGTTTTTTCACAAGTAACATCTTATAAGTTGAGAACCAGTCGTGTACACAACAGGTGATTAGCTTTTGTTTCTAGTATGCTAAAAAGTTAATTAGCTCATTAGGAACGTACCGTTTTGACGGCGACTCTGAGAGGATAACCGATCTTCACCGGCAAGTCCTCTTTCCGAATACTAGAGGGGGGTATAAAAGACGAACCCGGGTGATCAATTTCACTGCGAAATGCACGATTCTTATCGTTGTGATGCTGTATTACTTTGCCATGAAACGGGGAAGCACAATTGGCACAGAATGTAGGTTGGAATGCAGTAAATGTCTAACTTTAGTTAGTTCTAAGCAAAGTAGAAACTCGTCAGAATGTCAGTGGACCACTTACCATGACCGTCTGTTTGCCACAGTTTGGGACGGCCTCATTCGTCGTAGGCCGTCGTGTAATTTTGATGTAGTATAATTTTCAAGCAGGCTGTGACAGAACCAACAGTTCACAGGGACAGAAGTTCCAGGGATAGCATACTAGGGTTGGCTGCCGGAGCTTTTATTGCGTGCGATCTACATACGTTTCATCAGAAAATACCCCCCCCCCAAAAAAAAAAAGCTCATGGCTTATATCTCAAACTCTTGAACATAAAACAAGCAAACAAATAACAAACAAACGATGTCCAAACATACCTGTTCGCTCATGGCCCTGACGATGGCGGCAAGCTTCTCGGAAGCTTCTCCTCTCTTTTCAGTCTGGGACCCGTCCGTTCCTCCGTTCGTGCCCGCCCCTGGAGACCCCAGGGCACGGAGTGCCTCCATCTCCTTGCCGGAGACAGTGTTGCCTGCGCGTGTAGACACGGTTACAGACGATTCTAAACTTTACAAATTATCCTTAGTCGAAGTTGACATAATGTTTGTAACCAATGATAAACCAAATGAAAGGGAATTTCTCACCGAAATAGACGTTACCACACCTTCGTTAACACACACTCTTTTAAAGTTTTAGGACCCACTCGGAGTGTATAATACATGAAGCCTACGAGTAAACCTCTGTTTGGAAAATATCATTCGCCTTATTTGGCGTGTTTAGGCGTTTTTATCTGACTTTCCTTTTCGTACTGGTAGTTTTCGCCAGCAAACTTTGGTGGCGCATTGTATACCAATCTGCCAATCATAGTCTTTCAATTTGATATCCTGTCTTGCAGCCACCAAAAAATCTGCTTGAAGATTACATGAATGAGACCTTACCGGTCACCGCAGCCAGGCAGAAGCCCAGCAACACCAGTAGAACCAACACCTTCACGCTAACCCCCTCCATCTCCACTCACAGACTAGAAGGCAAAACGACGCAGGACACACTTATGTACCTACCAGAGAAACTCAACACCAGTCGAAATCAGGCTCCGTCAACAGTTGTCAACTGTCCATCTGAAAGTCACTCATCCAAGCCGTCACCCAGCCCAGTTCGTGCCCTGAATTTCTCCGACGTCTTAGAAATATGAGTTTGCATGACTGACCTAAAACAGCGGAGAGGAGGTAAGGCGTTTTGTGGATGCCTGTCAAAGCCGTACGTGTGACGATGTGGCACAAGGAGACTTGAAGATGTTGGTACGCCGGGCAGGGCACGTCTTCAAACTGGATTATGTCAGTAGCACAAGACACCACCTGTAGTAAACAGGTGGGCTACAAAGAAGTATTATATTGTATGATTCTTTCTTGGACTTGTAGTATTTTCAACTACAGGTCCAAGAAACAATGGAATTGATAGAACGAATTCGAATCTTTTGTTTGTTTTTTTTTGTTTTTTTTTTACTACTAAGTTGACATGCAAATGTCACACAGACAAACACTCACATCACGTTGTGCGATAATCTGATATGATTTATTTTGCACATATTATAAAATCAAAAACATATATGATACAGAATACAAAATATATGCAGGAGACAGTAACCGAAGCTGTATATGTTGTAATAGTGTTTTATCTTATGTTTGTTGTAATCGTTTTTAGCTATATCATGTAATTCGTAACCGATCTTGTAACGCCGTAATTTTAACATAAAAGTGAAATAATCTAGTGCAATAAAAAGTGCAATAATCTAGTGCAATATTTGATGCTTATGCTTTAGTTATGTACATGTCAAATATATTCTACCTGTGTATCCCATTGTAAAAGCTGCCCAATTCAGCCTGCGGGCTGCAATTAGCAACTTATATGTATGTTGTATGTATGTTCCTTTCGAAATAAACCAGTCTATATGTGTCGAGGGCCTCCCCAATAACTTAGTAATATCAAGTAACTGAATTATACATAACTAAAAACAACGAAAGTATGAGTCGAAAATATACATAACAATGATATACGTTCTATATTGCTCTGTACTTTACTTGTGTTCTCAAAGTTTTTAATCTCTAACGCTTTATGTAATTGGCTGTCAATGCAATGTGAATAACTAGTATATAGTATTCTTCTTCTTCCCTCCATACATCTCATCCGGACAGCCCCTGGTAGCCCAGCCGGCCGCACGTGAAGCCGAGCCGCTTCGCCAGGATGACGGATCCCGTGACGACCACAGAGGCCGCCATCAGCCCGCCTCCTGCCGCCAGCATGGCACGGGAAGCACTGCTGGGAGCTGCAACAGACGGGATACGTGAGAATAGTCGTCAATATTTTCTATCTTCTTCAGTCTTTATACATACTAGTACATCTACCAAGCACGTCGACAAAGGGGAAAATTCTTATGCAACGTTGACTAAACATTCTACGAAAACGGTGAAAAATCAGGGTTTCGTGCATGCGCAATACTAGTAATCTCCAAGAAGATCCTACGGTAGCCATTTGCCACTGGTGCGTGGGCAATATAGTCACAGCTCTAGGCAGTGGATGTTGTCCTGCCGACGTTCTCGTCTACCTCGAGAACTACGTATATATACTGGTGACGAAGGTAGGCAAATACCTGATTCCTCTTCATCCAAAATGATTGGTCCCAGGTAGATCATGTGACGTCCGATCATGTCCACCTTCTCGTCTGAGGCCCTTTTGCGTCTCGTGACACAACCCTGAAAATGTAAGAGGAGGTTAATGAATAGCTTCTATCAGGCTTGGGAAGCGGTTGGAAAGAGTACAAATTGACCAAATAGACAGAAAGCATGCTGGAGGATGTCGTACAGCACAGCTCTATATGGGGGTTCACAGTTAAGACTGAGTATGGTGCATTGTGGATATGTTTAAGAAGTATAGTACCTGAGCACATCGTGAGCCAGGATCGGCGGCGTCACAGACCATCACCTCACAGTGCACGTACACCATCTTCACCTCCTGGATGAACCGGAACGCCTCAAAACTGAACTGTTCGACGGCGGGGTCCTCGATACTGTAGATATCCACGGTCTGGTCAGAAGCACAGCTGCAAAAAATAAAAACAGATATTTGCAATATTAGAAGTATATGGAATCTAAAAAAACGTCTCTTTTAGTACATCAAAACGAACATGTAAAAGGAGGTGAAAGAAGTTGACATGATATTTGATGAATCAATCCATGAAAGTTTTAGACAGGGCATACAGAGAAGGACATACTAGTATACAGAGCCAACTAGTTACGACTTGGCCTATTTGATAGTGTACATGTCCTAGCCTGGGTTCCATCCTGGTTAGTTTACGTCCGCTCCCACAGTCGCTACCACCAACCAGCGACTGTGGGAGCGGACGTAAACTAACCAGGATGGAACCCAGGCTAGTCTTGTCCAGGTCTGCTTGAAGATTACGTTTTGCCTATCCTTGGTGCCATCCTTCGTAGTTTCAGTCGGCTTCCTATTGTCACTGGCTACCACGCTACATTAGGAAGCTGTTGGAAACTACGAAGGATGGCGCCCAGGCTAGTTTTGCCTACCCTTCGTTGATGAGTTGATACTGTAGGGTGTCGTTGGGTTCCGGTGACATAGTGGCCTTGCAGTTCAGCGCCAGGACGGAAAGTTCCTGTCCGTGTCCCTCCACCTAAAAACACTACAGATCACTAACCGAGTAACCATAAACAGGCATAAACTGTCCCACCCCATAACAGGAACCAACAGATACAGAAACTCTCCTTTTCCGTACATGTGCAGTTTACTCAACAAACCTAGCTTGACAATAATTCAACACATGTAAATATGTAAATGTCTATTCGACCAGTTGAATATTTACTAGTATATGTTCCTTGGATGTGTTGCGCCAGTTTTAACCATTGCAAGTTACTTAGCATAGTTATACTAGTAGTTTGCAATATTTGTTAATGTGTAAAATACCATTTGTATGCAGTGACTTGTTTTTAAAATTTGTTATTGGATTAGACGTAATTCAGTTGTCCAAATGCAATGTTTAATAAAGTGATCTTGGATCTCAAAACCTTCAGCTGCAGGTAGATTTGTTCTCCCAGGTTCCTGTGGACGGGAAACTCGTCGGCCTGGTACGGAGTCTGGTACTGCCGGGTGGGGAACATGGTGAAGAGAATCTTCAGCTGTCCGAAACCCTCCTCAGTGAAGTTCAGGCCGCCAGGGATGGGTAAGAATGTGGCGTACACCCATCGCTGGCGCTCGTACTCGCACCTGGTGAATCGAGAAAAATTTTTGTCTTCAGGCGTAACTTATTCCGGTACTACACCATGGTTTACGTTTTATACCATGATAACACATTAAACACGAGGACACATCCCACTACAGATGGATGACACTGACGAACGACACACACAGTACACATTCTTGGTGACCTTGAAAGCTACATGTACACCCCCACCACCCAGGGACTGCCGGGTCACAACCCTGTCAATCAACAGAAACCCAACCTCCGCCCACTCACTTCCAATCATTGTTGTTGGGGACAAAAATACAGACACACCTCACTTGACACATACACATGCGCGCTGCCCAAGACAGTACTTCTGTCTCGAAAGTAATCATCAACATGTTCAACAAACAAAAGTGACTTATCCAAATCATGAAGGAAACAACTAAAGCTTACTTTCTCTGTACTATAGTATCAAACTAATGCAAAGTTTAGGCCAGCAATAGGTTCCAAAAATGGTACTTTTTCATACTTAGAAGTAATCCTGATGTCGCCCTTGCGGGTGATGACGTCATCTGGCTCATGGCTACCCCGGATGTTGATGGTGTTCAGAAAGATGACGGACGTCGGGTCGAAGGCCACCTTGTATGCAATATGTAATATATTTCATTGATGTTGTCAACTTACAAAATACGTGTAAGCTAATACGTTTGCGGTAGAAATGTATAAAATATGTAGACGTTGAGACTTATGATCCCAAAATATGTAGAAGTTGAGACTAAAGCCCTGCCCACCTCCGTCAAATGCAGAAATACAAAATAAAAACATATGACCGGCATGCATGCAGCCACTTTCTTATTATAGTTGAACCGCTAATACATTTGTATTGCCATCCTCTTATTTCTTAGTCAATGATGAACTGTCAGGATCAGTCTACAGCTTGGATCACATACCTGTGTACCACAGCCGTACAGGTCAGTACGGAACAGGTAGTGAGTACCGTTAGTTGTGGCGCCACAGTTCTGGTCAGGCTCCCAGTGAAGGTTGTTTTGGTCGATGTCGGTCAGTTCTTCCTCAGGAATCGCCAGTTCCATGTAGTCATTGGTGCATATGGTGGAGGCTACAATGCAAAGATGGGAAAAGAATTTTAGATATAAAATATATTTTAGATGTTTTCTTTCACCAAATCACACATTTTTAATGCATACTTGCGTATCATCTTTGTATCATTGGACAGTAGTTTATCGTTTACCAAAAATGTTTTCTTTTGTTGTTGATGCCATAAAATATGTTGGCCAAACAACGAGAGCCATTTGGCGGTTGATATATTTGAAGGGACAAAGATTTAGCGAAGGTTGCTAAAATATATGAGAGGTATACGTACCCTCTATCACCCGCGGTATCACAGGAGTTGTCTCTTGTTGTTCTGTGTGTGTAACGTAAAAATTTAAATACACCAGTCTATTCAATTATAGCGGACCATTCACTGTATTACATAAACAGATAGGAAATACTGCCAGATTTTCGCTGCAAAGTAATAGCATACAGAGTCAGGGAGTGATGGATTTGGGATGATTTTGGGAGGTGCTATAGGTGGCAACGTGGTCTTGTGGTTAGGGTTGTTGAGTCGAAAGGTTCTTCTTGGTTTTTAGTGGATAAAACGGTTTAGCTCTGCTCTTACGCAGCTTGTTTTACTGTACTCTCCAAGCAGAGGTTGATGGTGGAAGATCGTTTGCTTTTTATATATGGTCTTTTTTTTTGTCTCTACCACCAC